GTCCCCTTGGTGGAGCCCGTTCCTGCTGCCTTTTTCCAGCTGATTCTCTGTCACTCTCCTTTCCTTCCCAGGTTTGGTCGGAAGAAAGTGCTGTTTGCAACCATGGGCATGCAGACAGGCTTCAGCTTCCTGCAGGTCTTCTCAAAGAACTTTGAGATGTTTGTCGTGCTGTTTGTCTTGGTGGGCATGGGCCAGATCTCCAACTACGTGGCGGCGTTTGTCCTGGGTATGGCCATCAGGTTGGAGTTGAGTACTTGATCCTGTGTCTCGCCGTCATCCCACCACCTGCCTTTCTGGAGACAGCCGTGATGTCCCTCGGGGGAAACTGGTCTCTAGCAAAACCAGCCACAGCGTCCTGGCGAACCCTGTTTGTAGGCAGGGAAACTGAGCTAGACAGCTGACCAGCCTGAGGTCCCCAGCAGTGCGGTGGCCTGACTTCTGATTTCCAGTTCCTTTCTGGCCTCCAAGGTGTGGCACTTTTTAGGACTTGATGGCCATTGTACTAGGACCCCCCAGAGATCATCCGTTTTATAAAGGGCCTGGCGCTGCCCAGGACTGAGGGAGCCGGGGACAGCTGGAGGCCTGGTGTGAGAAGGGCCGGGGCTGGCAGGATGCCCAGGAAGAGACGGCCTGTCTGCAGAGCGCCGTTGCCGACGATACCTACAGAGGAGAGGAAATACTCAGAGTACACACTGCAGGGCTTTGGCTCAGACCTTTGCCAGCCTTACGTCCCTGAAAAGTGGCCAGTGTCACTGTTTGGAGGGGTCTGACTGTAGTCAGTAAGGTCTCTGGGTTCCTTGGGTTGTATTGTTGAAAGGATTATTTTTTTCTTTTCACACTTAATAGCATGTTTCTTCCTTGAAGGGTAGCAGTCAGCATGGGTGGCATTACTAATGAGTCCACCTTTAATGAGTTCTTCTTCATGTGAGGATTAAAGGGGGCCTCTTATGGCATCTTCACACATGGCTCAGGGAAGGGGCGACATTTTCGCGAGAGAACTGTTGCCATGGAGCCCCCAGGAGTCGGTCAGACGAGACAGGGTTCAGAATCCCGTCCCCTCCCTAAGGCTTGAGAACTTAGAGACAACTCTGGTTGTTTTCTGATCTGTGTGTTGAAAATGGTAACCGTAGAAGATTAATAAGGAAATAACCCAAATTAAAATGCTAACTGGACTCCTTCCTTGTTTTGAACAGGAACAGAAATTCTTGGCAAGTCAGTTCGCATCATATTCTCCACGTTAGGAGTCTGCATATTTTATGCGTTTGGCTACATGGTGCTGCCGCTGTTTGCTTACTTCATCCGAGACTGGCGGATCCTGCTGCTGGCGCTGACGGTGCCGGGGGTGATGTGCGTGGCCCTCTGGTGGTGAGTGTGGCCCGGTGCCCGGTGGGGCGCCAGCAGGGCGACGTCTGTCCGGCCTTCGCTAGAGGGCAGCAGCAGCCCACAAACCCGGGCTCCTGGAGACAGGAAGTGTAGATTATTTATAAGTGGTTTCAGAATGTTTTCTCCACACTCAAAAGAACCAAACAAAGCAGAGTCCCAAGACATCAACAGACTCGTTCTCAGCCCTGTGCTGTGTTGATCTAAGTACAGGGAGAGGAAAAAGTAGCTGTGAGAAGACGGGGTCCAGCGTGACCTCCAGGAAGTCCCCAAACCCCAGGGCAAGGCAGCTCAGGCCCAGGCGTGGGGGGAGGAGGGAGCACACCAAGGTGAGATTCCTCAGGGTGCTGCGTGGCGGGCCAGGCTCCACCTGTGCCTCCAAGACAGAGTCGGACAGGCGAGCAGAGGCCATTCCACAGCTGGGGGGACACAGCAGAGGCCCCGAGGCGGGACTCACCGCTTGCAGGGGGGAAGGTGAGGCCATGGCCCGTGTGGAGCAGGGAGCGTTCAGGGGACGGTGGGAGAGGAAGCAGCACGTCACGACCAGGTGGAGGCTCCCTGGTCGCAGCGAGACAGAAAATGCCCGCAAAGACTCCGAGCACTCGGCGCCTTGACAGCATCCCGTTTTAGGCAGAGAGTCTGGCAAATCTGTCGGATAAATCACGGGTGGGGTGAGGAGAGCACAGAGGCTCAGAGGCTGGTGCAGAAGCTCCTGGGGATGCCAGGGACAGGGAGAGGGGCGTAGTGGGGTCTGGGCTGGCCCGAGACATCCACAGAAGCTGCGCTTCAGGAGCCCGCCGGGGGCACCCCCACTCTTTGGGAGTGGAGGCGGCCAGCCAGCGTAGGGACCCCAGCAGGGTGTGCAGGGCCCCCCAGATTTTGTGCCCTGCAGCGTACAAAAGAGCTCGCTCTGGAGGTTGTTGCTGTGTGTGGGCCATCTCTCCGCCGCTGGCTTGTGAGCACCAGACATTCCACAGACCCAGCTCTGGCTCTGAACCTCGCTTCCCACGTCCGCTGTGCGGCCTGTGCTCTGCTGCCCAGCCGCTGGGCGGGGGCCTCACTGGGGTGCTCCTTGCGCTTCCAGGTTCATCCCTGAGTCCCCGCGGTGGCTCATCTCTCAGGGGCGATTTGAAGAGGCCGAGGTGATCATCCGCAGGGCGGCCAAGATCAACGGGACTACTGCCCCTCCCACCATCTTTGACCCGAGTGAGGTGAGCCCAGGTGGGAGCTGGTGAGGGGCTGTGGTGGCCGCGATTTGAGGGCCCCGGCACCCAGCGCTGCCCTCCGCTCACGGGAGCCGAGCCCTCTCCCTGCCTGAGCCCCGCTGCCCCCACGGCAGATCCCGTTAAAACTCGGGGGTTGGGGAATAGGTTACAACCGCCTAGCTCTTTCCACTTTTCCCATGGGTTTTAGGTTTTCCTACTTTATTAACTTCCTTTCTAAACAATCATATGTTTTACCATTATTTTTAATAACAAACCTTTTATGAGCAATAGACCTTTCACAAAGTCAGCATTTTGGGAAATCATCGTGTCTTGTGCCTACGGTAGCTTGTCATCTTACAAAGCTCGCCAGGGTTTCGAGATGCAAAGCACAGATGGATTCGGAGGCGTTTGGTCTCTTCCCACCCTCCCGTGGCCAGCTGTTGCCTGTCATCTCGGAGTCAGGTCCTGCTGGACACTCACCTCTCCCTGTCCCAGCCCGGCCTGCAAACCCCGTCCTCGGGCACCACGAGCCATGGCTTGGCTCTGCCTGGCTCCCGGCTCCTGCTTTTCCTTCCTGTCCCCTCAGCAGCAGGCGCTTTCCCTCCGTCTCGTGACGGTGAGGAGAGGTCAGAGCTGTAAGAGCCGCTGCTGTGGTTCTGGGATGTGTCTCTCATCTGGCGGTGGGGGCAGCCACAGCAGGCATGCTAGGGACGCTTGGGGCTTGGGGAAGGGGCCACTTACTGCAGACAGGGAGGCCGGCGGCCACTGACAGCCCTGCCGGCCTCCCAGGGAAGGGTCGGCCAGCGGCCATGGGCACTCAGCCCGCACTGGCCAGGGCTCTGCCGCGCGAAGGTCAGGGCAGGCGCGCGGCGGGGGGCTTTCGAGTGAGGGTCAGTCTGGGTGACCCACGAGCCCCACTGGCGTCTGTGAGGAGCCGAGGCTGTTTCAGGGGGTCCCTTAAGTCAGAAGTTGACCTTGTGCTGAACTGCTAACTCGGAACAACAAGCCCCAAAGCTGGGTTCGCTTAAGAAAGCAACATCAGTGTGTTTAGACGTGTGGTTTATGAACGGCCTTGGCTGTGCCCCGTTTCATAGGAAGTTACTCTGGGTGAAGCTCAGGTCAATTTTCCTGTTTTTCTGTTGGAATATTTTTCCCCTGGAAGCGGACCAGTAACTACTTGGTATAAGGACTCAGAACGTTGATTTTTAAAAAACTATCAGATCAGTAAGGTCCGCAGCCAGTTTCTCTCTCTGACCCAGAGGGCCGGGAGCCAGGCTTGGAAGGAATGATCGCAGGCCTCCCTGGAACGCGGCCCCTGCGGGAGGAGGCGGCCGAGCAGCGCGGGAGCTGTCAGCTCCGGCCTCGGCTTTGCCGCACCCGAAGTAGGGACTGGCCGCCTACTTTCCTGCTCATTCTTGTTCACTCTGCTTTGTTATTGACAAGGCCTGGGGAGGCGTCCAGCAGCCCAAGTGCAGTCACTACACTGAAGTTCTTTTCAAGGAGGAAACATAACACTCCCCGCTCTGAGATGCAGACAGCTAAGGCGCCAGGGTTTCGAGCATGTTATTTGTTGTGTGCTCTGAGTCTCTGACCTGCGCTCCTTCCCGTCCCCTCGTGCTGTCCCCGCAGTTACAAGACCTGAGCTCCAAGCAGCAGCCGTCACACAGCATCCTGGATCTGCTCCGGACCCGGAACATCCGCATCGTCACCGTCATGTCCATCCTCCTGTGGTGCGTAAGCGAGACCTGCCTGAGGCCTCCAGACAGAGCCTCTGAGAGTGGCCACTGGGCCTCGCATGTCTACACGTGCCTCAGACCGAAATCGGAAGCCTGTGTCATCAGAAAGTCACAGGCTACACGTGTCTTGTGAGAATGGAAGAAACGGAACCTCAGAAAAGAAAGATGAGAACCATGGTGGAGGCTGTTTGGGAAAATCCGGGCTCTCTGGGGGTCTCTCCAGGTCCTAAGGTGGATCCTTGTTCCCCTTGGGTCCTTGTTTAGGTGTTCCTGTCCCTTACCCCCTCCTGCCCAGTCGCAGACAGTGGCTAAGGAGGACAGGTAGAACTTTCAGGAAGGATCTGAGTGAAGACGCCATGTCCATCAGGCCACAGAGGCTGCTGAGTGCTTTCTGGAAACATGGAAGCGGGACGTGCTCCTTCTGGGACATTCAGAGTCAGGGCACGGCCTGGATGTCCTCGCCAGGGTCCTTCTAACAGGGCAGGAAGGGATCTGTGAGTTACCAGAGAGGGAACACGTCGCATGCCCGGGTAGCTTTCGTGGGTGGCCAGACCCTGGGGATTGCAGGCGACTCCCGAGCCCGCTGGGGGGGTGGTGACAGGCGAGCGAGGAGGGAAGACTTTGGCTCTCGTCCAGCACGGGGCCCTGGGGGTCTGTGCGCTGCCCGTTCCCAAGGGCGGCCCAGGATCCCTCGGGGCAGTGCGCCGCTCCCCGCGTCTGCCCAGCCAGGGCCAGCACCACCACGTGCCAGCTGCCATGAGTCACCCACTGCAGTTCACCCAGACTCTTGCCCCTGCCCTGGGTTTCCCAGGGACTCCTGTACCTACCCTTTGTCTTCATCATATGAGCTGCATTTTCAACCTGCTGATGAGTCAAAAACATTCTAATCCATAGAGATCCAGTTTGCCAAAGAGTGTGGGCCATCAGCAGAGAGAAAGCCCACTGGGGACAGGGCCCGGGCCAGGGACATGGCAGCCATGCAGACAAGAGACAGCCTGGCCCACTTCTGGGAGTCCCCTCTCTTCTCCATGGATACGGTGGGGTCGGTGTCAGCTGCCTCTGACCAGCCGCTGCCTGGCCGGGTGCCACAGATAGTCTTTAACCGAATGTTGCCCCTCATTTTATCTCATCCCTCCAATCCTATCCCACCTCTCTTGATACCCGCCGCCCTACTCATTGCCTCGCTCCTTCTGCAGTTGCTGGATCTGGGAGGTTCAGAGGGTAGGGAAGTAGCTTCCGTGAATGCTTTGGCCTAGTATTTTTAAAGCCAAAAGGCAGGCCCGTCTGAATTATATCAGCTGTTCTGCTGTGACACTTCCTACCGGGAACTCTCTGGCAGGACACCGGCACGGAGTTCACGCTGCACCACGTGGCTGGGGGGCTCTCTTTTGTTCTGTGAAGCAGATGCAGGGTTAGAGCTGCTCTGCCCTCCTATCCTCTGCTCACAGAGTGGTTTGGGGTTTACTGAAATAATTGCATTTACAAGTTGCTTAGGTTGGGAGAGATGTGGATACTGCTTTTCCAGCTTTCTTTCTTCTCACTCTGTTTCAGGATGACCATATCAGTGGGCTATTTTGGGCTTTCCCTCGACACTCCCAACCTGCATGGGAACATCTATTTGAACTGCCTCCTCTCGGCAGTGGTGGAGGTCCCAGCGTACGTGCTGGCCTGGCTGCTGTTGCAGCACGTGCCCCGGCGCTACTCCATGGCCACCGCGCTGTTCCTGGGCGGCAGCGTCCTCCTCTTCGTGCAGCTGGTGCCCCCAGGTAGGGACCGTGTGCGTCTGCGGTCTTGGGTCTTCACTGAGTCGCTCATTCTCTACCAGGCTGTCTTCCCCAGCTAAGGAAGCCCATCACAGCTCCCTGGCCCATATGCAGACTTCGCCTAAAAATCAAGAGGAAGTGCCTCTTGAGAGCAGAACACCCCCGATGGCCTGGGCCTCGGGGGAGTGAGAAGCAGCAGCACTGGGGCCGTTGGCTAATTTTACTCTGTACCCAAGTTGCTGTGTTCATCTTGGCTGTCCACTCCAGAATGAGGGGGAAGAAAGAGCCACCCCATTACTTTTCTTCCTGGCCCTGTCTTACGTATTCATTCAACAAGTAGCCGTGGCCGCCTGCTGCGGGCGAGGCTCTGTGCTTAGTGCGAGCAGCACGGGCCCTCGTAAAGCTTCCACCCTAGTCGAGAAGACCAACAACGGACAAGTAAATAAAATGCTTAAAATCGCGCAGATTGTGCTGCCTTCTGTGAGTAAAAACGAAGCGCAGTGGGGAGCTAGTTCACATAAAGTCGTCACAGACCATGTGCCTGAACAGGGGAACATACATGGAGTGACAAGAAAGCCATGGAAGAGTCTAGCAGGACGTTTCAGGGAGAAGCAGCAGCAAAGGCAGTGACCCTGAGCAGGAACGAGCCCGGCACGTCTGAGGAGACAGAGGAGCTGGTTAAGAGAGAGGGCCGCACAGGCCAGGAGCAGGATTCTATCTCTGAAACCATCTGGGTCCCACAGGTGGGTGGGAGGTGGCCATTGCCGACAATTTACAGAACAGCTGGGCCCTCCTCTGTCTGGCACTGTGCCCAGATGGATTTGGGAGCCTCTGGTGGTCTTGGGCCTCTCAGGCTGGGGACACTGCACAGGGACAGCCCCCAGGGGGTGTGGCACAACAGGCCAGAAATGAAGTAGCCGGGTCACACTGAGCTCAGAGTGACCCTCAGTCACTCGCAGCGTCTCTCGTCGGCACAGGGAGAAGGATGGACGGGAGGATCATCTCGATGATGGGCTGTGAGTTTTCTGGGGTCTGAGTAGTATGAAAAACACGAAGCGAGTTAGAATTGGATTCTCCACGCATCTAAAATCCGTGAGTTAATTCCACGGTGTCTGCGGTGTGAGGTTCTGGGTGACAGCTGACTCCCTGGCAGGCAGGTCTTGAGTGACTTCTGGACTGGAAAGCAGGGTGGCCTCTTGGCTGGGAAAACGCACGTCCTCACACAGCTGCGGCCCCCGCCTCCGTCCAGGCTTCGGCGTGGAGGGAAGTCTCGGCCGCGGTCCTTTATCCCACGATAGGAAGTTACAGGCACTAACCCACCCCCCGAAAAAAAGACTGGGGGAGAAAGTACATTTGCTCAGGCAAAAAAGAAGTGGAACTGTGAACGGCAGCGTGCCGTGGGTTGGTGCCTACTCCCACCTCCCTTCCTTTGCTCTCCAGACCTGTCTTACTTGGCTACAGCCCTGGTGATGGTGGGCAAGTTTGGAATCACCGCTGCCTTCTCCATGGTCTACGTGTACACGGCCGAGCTGTACCCCACGGTGGTCAGAAACATGGGCGTGGGCGTCAGCTCCACGGCGTCCCGCCTGGGCAGCATCCTGTCCCCCTACTTCGTCTACCTCGGTAAGAGCCGTGGGCGGGGGCGGTGGGGGAGAAGCTTTGATGTGAGTGGAGACAGCTCGTTAGTAAGGAAACGAGCACCTGCGGCAAACGCGCTGACCTGCGGCTGGGGAGGGGTCTTCCAGCGCGCTGTCGCGGAGACGTTCACTTTCAAGTGGAAAACAACCGATAGACTAGCTAGAAATTGGTGAGAAAACGAGGTTTTGTTTCTGTTTCAGCCATCCCAGGCCTTCCACCAGAGACTAAATTCCTTTACCCTCAGAAACTACTAGTAGTTTAGGGAGCCAGTGTACTTCGTTGGAGAAATTTCTTGGAATCAGCCTTTAAAGGAACAGGAGGGAAGGTGCCCACTCAGGAGGAGTGATGGGCTGGGGGTCGCTCTCGCGGAGCACTGTGCAGCGGGCTCACGTCGCACAAAGGTCTGCCTCGTGCCCTTTCACGTAGCAGGGCCCCAGTGTTTCCTTCTCGAAAGCACATCCTCACGGCACTGCTGTCCCCGCACGTCCCCAGCCCGTACGTCTGGGAGGGTGGCACCTGCCCTGAGAACCCAGGGAGCCTTGTGAACATGCCAAATAGACCTGACAAGCAGAGACAGCCTGTCTGGCCCGAAGGCAGATCCAACGGGCCGTGACACACCTGCAGAGGCGGCAGGGCCGTGCCTGTCCCTGGCCAAGTGCTTCGAGTTCCTTGGGAACCAGGAATAATCATCACGGCTCCGCTCCTTGCCGCGCTCTCCTGCCCTGCATCTCGGGGCACTGCTGCACCTTCCGCGACCTGGGCGCACCTGTGCTGGCTCTGGGCTCTGAACCAGACTCCAGCCTGGCGTCTCGGCCGGCGGCGATGCCGGGACTGAGAAGGACGGCGATCCCTGATAGAGTCCTGGGAGCATAAGGGATGGAGAGAGACCAGGTCTAACCGCAGCCCTGGGCTGGGGCTCTGTCTGCTTTGCCGCAGGGGCCTATGACCGCTTCCTGCCCTACATCCTGATGGGAAGTCTGACCATCCTGACAGCCATCCTCACCTTGTTTCTCCCAGAGAGTTTCGGCACCCCACTCCCAGACACCATTGACCAGATGCTGAGGGTCAAAGGGTAAGACGGGCTCCCTCTTCACGATGGTGATGCACTGGGTCTGGGCCAGGTCTTGGGATCCCCTCGTGGTAGAGCCCCCCCAACCCCGCGCCAGACTCACAAGTGCCATGGACGAGTTTAGCCACCAAAGGGTTATAAATAGCAGGGTGCTGACGGCCTGTGCTCCCTGCTCTGATCCCATGTGGACGTGCCACCATGCACGCCTCTGGATGATGCAGGGGCCAGGAGAAATATTTCAGAATCTGCTGTATGATTTTTTTTTCCCCCAGTGAAGATGTCCTCAGTTCTTGGTTGTTCTGAGACTGGCAGGCATCTTTTTAAGGTTTGTTACTAACATTTGTTTTGCCTGTTTTTATAGAATAAAATACAAGCAGACTCCGAGTCAAGCAAGGATGTTAAGAGATGGCGAAGAAAGTGGCGTCATCCTTAAAAGCACAGCCTTCTAACACAGCTTCCGGTAAGTGAGGCACGTAAGAGGAAAGACTGCGTCTGGTCAGACACAGCTTGTGCAGACACAGCCCTTCGGTGACAGAGGCCTTTGCTGTTCGTTCTCTCACCTGTGTCTGACTCGCTCACAGACGGCCACCCAGACGCAGAGGCCGTGTAGCGCCCTAGAGCACACCCTCCTCTGGGGACACCAGGGCTACCTTCAGACAACTTCAGATCAGTCCTGACTTTCATGATGGTGGACTCGACGCTTCCTAAGGAGTTAATTATTCACTCGAACCAACGGGATTTGGAAGAATATGAGAAGAATCTGCTAAATTTACATTTTAATTTCAGACAACCTGAAAAGACCCCTAATAACACTGCAGGTCTGAGTCCCCCCACGCCCTTCCTGCTAACGGTGACCTTTAGAGGAAAAGAAATAGTTTCATAGGAAGTCTGATTTCTCACCTTTGCTCAGTCACAAATGGCAGTAGCTAGGACTGTCACTGCCCGGGGCAGCAGAGCACAGGCCCTGGGAGAGCCGGCGGTGTGGAAGGTGCAGGCGAGCAGGTGCGGAGCACGGCGCGCGCGGCGAGGTGCGGGCTCTCGGGCCGGTGTGACGCTGGGTGGATTCGTTACACCTGGTCGAAGCACTGGGCTTGTCCAGGCCCATGAGAAATGCATCGCTGCACCTGCTGTTCTTGTTTTCACTGCTGTGCGAACCAGACCTCCTCACTACTGTGGCTTCTGGGTACGGTTTGAAGGAAGTTTATCAGTGAGAAAGAGAGACAAGCAACTTTGTCTTTTCTTTCAAAACTGTAATAGATTTTGTTTTGTTGTTTGTTGTTATGACGTCTTTTTCTCCTTAAGTTATTTGCCCTTCAGAATAGACTTGGGGAAGGCTGGTTCCTTAGCCTCCTGGTGTGTGTCTTTTTTTTTCTTTTTTAAGAGACAGGGTCTCGGCTGGGCGCGGTGGCTCCCGCCTGTAATCCTAGCACTCTGGGAGGCCGAGGCGGGTGGATCGCTTGAGCTCAGGAGTTCGAGACCAGCCTGAGCAAGAGCGAGACCCCGTCTCTACTAAAAATAGAAAGAAATTAGCCGGACAACTAAAAATAGAAAAAATTAGCCAGGCATGGTGGCACGTGCCTGTAGTCCCAGCTACTCGGGAGGCTGAGGCAAGAGGATCTCATGAGCCCAGGAGTTTGAGGTTGCTGTGAGCTAGGCTGATGCCACAGCAACTCTAGCCCAGGCAACAGACTCTGTCTCAAAACAAAAAAAAAATACAGGGTCTCACTCTGTTGCCCAGGCTGGAGTGTAGTGGCATGATCATAGCTCATTGCAGCCTCAAACTTCTGGGCTCAAGTGATCCTCCTGCCTCAGCCTCCCAAGTAGCTGGGACTATAGGTGAGTGCCACCACACCTGGCTAATTTTTTTTTCTTTTATTTTTTGTGAAGACAAGATCTTGCTGTGTTTCCCAGGCTGGTCTCAAACTCCTGGCCTCAAGTAATCCTCCTACCCTGGCCTCCCAAGGTGCTGGGATTACAGGCGTGAGCCTCTGCGCCTGGCCTGTGTCTTTTTTTTTTTTTTAACCCCAAATCACTCCAGCGATGGTCTACAGTTGCCACCGGTGCACGGTGTTTCCAGTTTTATCCTCTAGCACTTCTCCGAGCGCCAAAAACAATGTCATTGTGTGTATTCCTTTTGTGATATCTAATCAGGGGGAAAAATTAAAAAGAAATTTAAATTGTGTTCACGGTCTCTCAGAGCTGCTCACTCCAGTCGCGTTAACACTATCGGGAGACACTCTGTGTCCAGTAGTTGCCTTCTCTTTGCTGATTATGTTTCCGTGGTACTACTAAAGCATATGTTTCAGTTGGTAAAAAAAAAAAACAAAACCAACCATATTTTTGTGAAAGCTACTGATGTGCCTTGGAAAATGAGAAAGTTTTAATAAGTAAAATGATTTTTTAAATAACAGCAACTGCCTAGAATCTTCATTTCTGGAAGCTGGTGTCCTCGTGCCGCACCATCGGCTGACTTTTCTCTCAGCGGGAGCTAATTGAGGTCATGGTTGGGATTCATCTCTAAGGCCAAAATTTAATTCCTGCGTACTAGAGATCTTCACTCTGTCGACTGTGGACTGAGCCAGCCTCTTGGACACGTGTCTTAGCCTGGCTTCCCCCGAAAGCAGAGCCTGAAACCGGCCTACCGTGCAGTTAGGTAGTTTATTTGGGAAGGAGTAAAGCACAGGGGAGGAGGAAGGGAAGGAGGGAGACCAAATACGAGGACGCATCATCAGGTTGGGCAGTGCCGAGGGCAGGAGTGCTCCATCCAGCGGGAATTCTGAGGAGGCACGTGCGCCGCGTCTCAAAGCCGTCTGCCCCGTGGACAAAACGGGGAGCATTTCTCTGTTGGTGCCACTCGTCAGTTGCAGCTCCAGAGGCGTCAGCTGCTCACTCTTCCAGGCTGCAAATGCATGAGTCCCAAACAGGTCCAATCCGTGGGCAGAAAGCAAGAGCTAACGCAGCGCAGGCCCCAAGTGAGGGTTGCTGGAGCCCGTGTGACCAGCGATGGGGGGCTGAGCGGATGGGGTTGGGTGTGGTGCACAAGAGGTGTCTACGTGCAGTTTGTCCTGGGGCGCCTGGGGCTCGACAGCGTGGCTGGACCTGGGTGAAAGCTCCGGGGCCGGACAGACAGCTCAAGGGCATGTCGTGGGACAAAGCAAGCAGCTGCAAACTCAGGTGGGAAGGAAGGCAGCACGTCTGGAACACTGCTGGCTTCTCCACTCCCCTCAAACCGGGTTCTGTGCCGAGTTCCCGATGAGCTGACTTCCCAGGAGCTCCAGAATCGGAATTCGTCCTGCCTGCCATTCTCCTAGTGCATGAATGGACAGTTTCTGCGTTTTCTCTCTTATTTTCAATGCCACTGATTCCAGTCATTTGTGGCCTTCTGAGGACAAAAACCGTAATGCTTAGAGCTCTTCCTGTGTGGGGCAACAGCCCTAGTCACTGCTCCCAGGGTTGAGCCAAGACTCTGAAAATCCAGGCCCTCCGTCCCGTCTGCTGGACTCGTGTGTGCCTTGTTTCCGTCAGGGCCATGTCTTGGGAAGACTGAGCTTTCTAGACCAGGGATCCCTCCTGTCAGGGAGAGGCGTGTACAAACTGTAGTCACGGGCAGAGCTGGTGAGTGATGAGGTGCTCACTTAATAGCTGTAATAACTAGAAACCCGCGGACCCACAGAAATATGAAGGGCAAAGAAAAGGTGGTGGAGAAACAACTCAGATATTTTTTTTAAAGTTCTCTGCCACAGATCAAAGTAACGGCAAGGATTTACCCAGTGACCTTTTCCTCTTCTTGGCAGCTAGTTCCTAGCCCCCTCAGGGTTCCCTCAACACTCTTCACGGATTCCAGAAGGGCTGCTGTTTGCCAACAAGAATTATTCTGCTTAATCCCTGGCTAAGGGATGGTGGATGAGGTGGGCAGAGGACCGTGCTCTCTGCCAGGGAGTAAGTAGCAAAATAAGACTTTCTTCTGGTGTTGGTCTATTGATTGCTTTTCCTAAAGGGCTTTTAGGCTGATAGAGGCTTGATGCAAAATATTAGCAACACCTTCTGCTGTGCGCTATTGCTATAAAAGCACTTTGGGAAAATACATCTATTTTCTCATTTAATCCTCATAAAAAAACCCATGAGATTGATAGAGGATGCCCAGGATGGCAGAGGTTTCTCAGCAGAAATCATACGTTTTCTTGGCGGTCTCGGGCAGACCCAGGCCTGAAAGTCTCACTTCCTGGAGAAGGGGCCTGATCTCAGGGACAGAGTTTTGTGAGACGATTCCGAGAGACACTGTGACATCATTTCTCTGTTGGGCCAGCCAGAGAGCAGCAGCCAGGCACCTGACTGACTTTTTTCCCCCCCTTTTATTTATTTATTTATTTTTGTAGAGATGGGGTCTCACCATGTTGCCCAGGCTGGTCTTGAACTCCTGGCCTCAAGCAATCCTCCCACCTCGGCCTCCCAAAGTGCTTGGATTACAGGTGCTGACTGACTCTTTACCCCAGAAGAAGTCTCACAAAAAACTTCTCATGGATGTGTAGAGGAGGGGTAGGAACGAGCTCTACACCTCAAGGATGGACTGCTAAATGTATGTAGTGGTGTCAGTATTTCACATGGCTAGTCTGCTGGAGAGGTTTGAAACATTTAATGCTCATGCACTTTTGATTGTGAACAAAATAATTCTGAAAATTTCAAATGTCCTCATAGAATTACCCTCCCCCCTACCAAAAAAATGAGCACAAAGAAAGCAAAGATCTACAAATTTTTTTAACCAAAACTAACCAAACAAGAAAGCAGTGCAACATAATACACATCAAAAATTGATGAAAGGGGAAGAAATGAAGATTTTAACCCTGCCCCCAAGCTCTCGAACCATACTAAAAAGTCATCAACATCTGGAACAGTCTCCCTAATACTCCCAAAGCTGGCAAACAGCAGACTGGTTAAAGGCCTCTATTTATTTCCCTCTTCAAAGAATTTTGGAAACTACTCTAGAGCACACATGGATGAAGCAGAGAAAATGGAGAATGGGGATGACCCTGACAGAAGTGAGATAAGAAATGCTAAAGGAAGGAAATGCGAAAATGACACTGGCCAGTAACCTGAATCTACGTGAAGGAATAATGAACATGGGTAAAGGTATCTACCTAAGTAATTATAGAGACAGTATTAATGTATTGTCTTAATTCTATTTCCTATATAATTAAAAAAACAACTGCATAAAGTAATTATAAATTGAGGTTAATGGGCAAACAATGTATCAAGATGTAATTTGCGACAAGACAATAAAAGGGGGTGAAGCTAAATAAGAGCAAAGCTTTTGTATATTATTGAAATTGACTTGGTATAAATCTAAACCAGATTGTTATAAATTAATATATGATTATAACCTCCAGGGCAACCATTAAGAAAATAAATAAAAAATATGTAGTAAAAAAATTGATACAGATTTAAAATGATACTTAGAAAATATGTCTTTAACATAAAAGAAAGCA